CATTCAGGCTATAAACAAGTGAAAAAAAAATTATTGACACAAACAGGTGCACACACTGACAAAACATTTCTTGCTGATGTCCAAGAGGTAAAACACAAGAAACGCTGATAAAACTTGCTTCATTTTTACTCTTCATAAACAGGACAATGTCTGATCATTGTATGTGAAAAAAACAAAACACATTAGCAATAACACAGTCTTTGACTAATTACATTAATTAAATTATGATTATGACGGTGGGATGTGTGATGCTGTACTACAATACCCGGAGTGTAGATTAAATAGAAAGGATAATTGGTTATCCTTAGAGTGTACTTTGTAGCAGAATATTGACTATACGAACTTAAGGCTAGATATAGGGCTGGTAAGTAGGTCACCAACCAGTTCTACGGCTCATTAAAACCTGCATGAGCCATAGAGCTGGTTGGTGACCTACTTACCAGCCCTGTTACTAGAATTGAATCTACTCCTTGACCGACTTGAAGCAAAGTTAAAAGGACTTGAACTCGAATATTTCGAGCTATGAAGAAGGCGCGACATCATCCGACCACACTTTTACCAGTATTCTCTAAAAATCAGCCCAATTAAACTTTTTTTTTTAATAAGAAAAGGTAATTTTCGTTGAAACTATGAGGATTTAAATTAGTTTAAATTGAGAATGTGAGCACTTTTCAAAATCTCCAATCTCGCGCAGAAATTGGAAACGAGGCTACATTTAAAAAATGCTATTACATTCTTAGAAAACACTTGAACATTTCTTCTGCAAGTCAACAACATTAAATTACATTCTTAAAATGCGAATCGATTAAAAAAAACAACCACCGCACACCCACCCACCGCCTCAATTCATTCTGTATCAAGGACGGACACGATTAAGATTATTGTTCATTATACACTAACTATAATAAAAAAAATGCCGTTTCGATTATAATTTCACAAGAATACAAATAACAACAAACAATTCATTTCAAAGTAATTTTAGTAGGTTAGGTAACATATGGTCACAAATATTTACCATGTTAGTTTTTTAATGTATAAATAAGCTATTAAAAATTTAAATAATATATTATTTACATTACTTCAAGTATATGCAATCATATAAAATCCCAACATTAAAAGTCAGTCACATATTTACAAAGCGTATAATGTACAATATATCTATAACGTTAAATAAGTGATACTGTTACAAATTGAAATACACAAAGCGGATTTTGTACACGAATTCTTTTTTTTTTACAAATATACATTATGTTAAATCTTAAGTGAAACTACATTACGTTTTCGTTACAAACATATTCTACCCATTTTAAAAGGTATCTAGTTAACACACCTAAATGTATTTTTTTCAGGTAATCTAACTGCAATGTGCATTCTGTAATCTTACCTCATCATTGTAAACTGAAATGCTTGAGCATTATGGATTCTAATGCAAACAAAATACCAGGATAATATTATATTAGGTAGGTACCCCACACTTATTACATATTATGTCACAATACTAACTGATAAACTTAGATACGAAACTGAGGTAATTCTTTCATGGTAAATATTACACACTAATAACAAGTATCCCGGTAACTATTTTATATGTAAACCTATTATGTATAATGTTAAACTGTAAAAATATCAAGTTAAAACAGGTAATGTATGACCAGAAGTTTTATCTGTAAAGATCTCAGGTAAAAACAGCTAATGTATGATCAGATGTTTTATCTGTAAAGTTCTCAGGTAAAATCAGCTATGTTTGATGTTTATCTGTAAAGATCTCAGGTAAAAACAGCTAATGTATGATCAGATGTTTTATCTGTAAAGTTCTCAGGTAAAATCAGCAATGTTTGATGTTTATCTGTAAAGATCTCAGGTAAAAACAGCTAATGTATGATCAGATGTTTTATCTGTAAAGTTCTCAAGTAAAATCAGCTATGTTTGATGTATATCTGTAAAGATCTCAAGTAAAAAAAGCTAATGTATGATCAGATGTTTTATCTGTAAAGTTCTCAAGTAAAAAAAGCTAATGTATGATCAGAAGTTTATCTGTAAAGATCTCAAGTAAAAAAAGCTAATGTATGATCAGAAGTTTTATCTGTAAAGATCTCAAGTAAAAAAGCTAATGTATGATCAGAAGTTTTATCTGTAAAGATCTCAAGTAAAAAAAGCTAATGTATGATCAGATGTTTTATCTGTAAAGATTTCAAGTAAAAAAGCTAATGTATGATCAGAAGTTTTATCTGTAAAGATCTCAAGTAAAAAAAGCTAATGTATGATCAGATGTTTTATCTGTAAAGATTTCAAGTAAAAAAGCTAATGTATGATCAGAACTTTTATCTGTAAAGATCTCAAGTAAAATCAGCTAATGTATGATCAGAAGTTTATCTGTAAAGATCTCAAGTAAAATCAGCTAATGTATGATCAGAAGTTTATCTGTAAAGATCTCAAGTAAAATCAGCTAATGTATGATCAGAAGTTTATCTGTAAAGATCTCAAGTAAAATCAGCTAATGTATGATCAGAAGTTTTATCTGTAAAGATCTCAAGTAAAAAAGCTAATGTATGATCAGAAGTTTTATCTGTAAAGATCTCAAGTAAAATCAGCTAATGTATGATCAGAAGTTTATCTGTAAAGATCTCAAGTAAAATCAGCTAATGTATGATCAGAAGTTTATCTGTAAACATCTGAAGTAAAATCAGGTAATGTATGATCTTTTGTCCGTACTTACAGACAACTGTTATAGATTCAATTCGAGAGTCAGCAAGCACAAAGTAGCCTTGTTTATTGTGCTATTACCACAAGAGTCACTCGACGCTTGGAGTAGTGCTAGACGCGTATAATGTTGATGTTGTCCTCTGGAGGACCTCAAATCAATCGTGAGCAGTGTAGATGTGCGCGTGGAAGTGAGCATGTGTGTTTACTGGCGGGTGTGTGTGTGTGTATGTGGGTGTGTGTTTACGGGCGTATGTGTGTGTGGATGTATGTGAGTGTGTGCTTAAGGGCGCATGTGCGTGTGTGTGTTTTGGTGGATGTGTGTGTGTGCTTAAGGGCGGTGGTGTGTGTGTGAGTAGATGTTAGTGTGTGCTTACAGAAGGATGTGTGTGTGTGTGGATGGATGTGTGTGCTTACGAGCAGATGCGTGTGTGTGTGTGTGTGTGTGAATGAGTGTTTAGTTTAAAGAATCTTTATAAAGAGGTTGCTGCAGACTTCTCTCAAAGCTAATGCAAACAGCTCTACATGGTAAATTCGTATCACGATTGATCTAAGTGCTCTTTCAATAGTTCTTGTAGACTCTTTCCAATAATGAATCGTTTGGTTGACTTTACTTAGAAACGAACTTCCGTTTTCTCGGTTCGATTAAGTTTTCTCGATTTAGCTTTCTTTTTCTTTAGAAGATAATTATGTATATTATTGAATATTAAATACTTTTTACTTTATGTCTCGGTATACTTTATATAATTGTTTTTATAAATTACAATGTGATAATGCATGTATTTACAAACACACACACGCACACACAAACACACAAACACACATACACACACACACACACACACATATATATATATATAGTCAGCAACACATACACAAACACGCACGCATATAGCGTGCATTAAGTGTCATACAAAGAGTATGTCAACATTTAGTACGTCAAATACTCTCACGATATTACAATCTGATACATGTGTAAAATTTACATCACGATCGACAGTCAATATCTTCCACATATACATCTGTCATTAGTACCATTTAATACAATTAATTACTTGACGGTTGTAAATGTAAAGTAAATGTTTCTTCTGGACCTGGTTCCCCACGGCGAAGAAGAATCAGAGTTCACCAGTTTTGTGTTATGACCTCCGCGTATGAAAGGATAGTGCGGTCAGCACTATGCCCAGCCACCTTTACTTTATCTAACTTCCAGCAGCCATTAGAGCTGGGTGAACTCAGGAACGTGCTACAACTCTATCCAAGGACCCGAACTCGAGACTTTAATGTTAGCAAACAAGCTATACTTATGATCCTCATTCATTTGATTAAGTCTTTTATATTTCTTTTCATTACAGTTACATACTTTGTTTCATGTGTCCACAACTTAACATACTCCTCATACATATAATATTACACTATATACCATATACATCATATGCTACAGATATACCACATCAAAGTTATATTATATACAACAGCATACTTTACTACATCTATATTAGGCTGTATATAAAATCACTTTTACGTCCTATTCCTTATCACATATACACCAAATGTTATATTTACAACGTAAGCACATTTTCTGGTTTGAAAGACCCAAACCTACATTGGTTGGTCGATATTTTTAGACATTTCCATTACAACCAATGACCAACGCTGTTACAAAAGTATTAGACATGATGTTTAATAAGTTAAAAACTGAGTTCACAAGGGTTGTGTTTAAACAGTGTGTCGTTAAACACCCACAAAGACGAACAAGAGAGATAATTAAGGCATAAAATTCTAACAAACCAATTTCTATTTACAGTGTTCTTCACAGCAAGACCACGCCACACAGTTGTAGTGTTTCAAAATTGATGTTTAGGTTAGTTAGTATGTGGGGTGGGGGGAGGGGGGGTCAAGCAGGGGTCTACAGGATCTACTGAGGTGGGGGGGGGGGGGGTCTAGTGGTCTGTGATATAGTTGTAAATCTTTGCTAGCTACAGGCAGTACTCATGTTCAAGCAGAATTGTATGACGCACTGTGTCGGATTCAGAAATAGGGTTCTGATACACTAACATGTGTCCGACACAAATATTTGTCCGACACACAAATATGTGTTCGACACACAAACATGTGTACGACATTCAAATATGTGTCCGACATTCAAATATATGTCTGACACACAAATATGTGTCAGTCCCACTTATATATGGCAGACACACAAATATGTGTGTCTGACACAAATATGTGTTAGTCCCACTTATATGTAGGAGACACACAAATATATGTCTGACACACAAATATGTGTCAGTCCCACTTATATGTGGCAGACACACTAATATGTGTCTGACACACAAACGCCTTATATTTTCAAGAAACTTTGTTGAGTGATTGACTAAGTCCATCGATGTAGTTACTGAAGAATCCAATAAAACTCCACACCATCAGTTAAATGTGACGCGCATACAGCTTTGATTAAATAAAATTGATAGTGTCTCACTTTGAAGCATTTCATGACATGTGTAACGCCACAAGCATATATTTTGGGAATAGCTTGGCTTAAACGTTGGTAACGTTGAAAATGAATTTTATTTTAACGTAGGTATAGATGAAAGTAAACCTCACTTTGTAGGTGTAAAATATAAAGCAAACTTTAAGTTCACGTTAGTATAGATGAAAGCAGGCTTCTCAAAGAAGGTGTAAAGTTTCAAGCTAAATCACTAACACTGGTAAAGTTTAAAGAGGACCTCATTTCAACGTTGGTCAAGTTTAAAGATCACTAGAACGCTGGTAAAGTTCAAATAGAAATTCACTCCAACCTGGTAAAGTTTAAATAGAACCACACTACAGCGCTGGTAAAGTTCAAAGAGAACTTCCCCACAACGCTGGTAAAGTTCAAAGAGAACTGCCATACAACGCTGGTAAAGTTTTAACAGAACTTCCCCACAACGCTTGTAAAGTTTAAATAGAACTTATCCCACGACACACATCGACTCACACTTCCGAGACCCGAGTCGTCCTCGCGGTCATCATCTGACCTTCGCTCCTCACGCTCGTGGCCTTGACGATGTCACTGAGAAAAATCTTAATAAAAGTGTCCCTAAAGTGTTTACTCATGGTGCAGTACAGCACGAAGTTTATGCCATTGTTGAACAAGGCAAGCGAGTCCATTAAGTCCCCAAGCGGTCCGTAGACCTTGACGAAGAAGCTTTCAATGATGCCTCCAAGAAGCTGAAGAATCCCCTGTGGGGTTTCGGTGAGAACGAACAGGGCGACAACCACGACAAGCATTCGAGTTGTCCTGTTAGTTTTTCTATGGCGGCGGGAGTCGTCTTCGACTTTGGAACTGTTTTTGTTCATTAATTTTTTTCTTCGTTTCTCCGCGTCTTTCATCTGTTTGATGAGTAGGATACTGAGCACCGCTAGCAGAAGACACGGAAGCAGCTTGACAAGGATGGCTTGTATCCAGAGATTGAAGTTCTTCAGGAACTGGTAGCCTGGGGTGTCCTTCCTCACGTCGATAAACCACGAGGTTTGGTTTTTAGCGGTTAGGTTGGTCTCGAACCTGTAGCTGACGGAGTTGGGGATGCAGACTAAGGTAACGACGACGCAGACGATGAAAACGGTGAGCTTAGCTCGGTACGTGCTGCACATTTTAGCTCCTCTCCGTGGGTATCTAATGAAGACGTATCTAAACACGGCTAGGGACACGGTTAACCATATGGATATACTGTGGACCACCACGCTGAAGATGGCGAAGAACATGATGAACCGGGCGTTGCTGAGAGGGGAAGCGTCGTCTTTAGCGAAGACGTGGTAGTTGAGGATGGCGTAGGGGAGGTACGCCATCATGGTCAAGCCGTCGGAGATGGCGAGCCAGGTGAGGAGGACGTTGGTGGGGGAGATCATGTTTTTCCGCGTGAGTACCACGATGTTGAGGCAGTTGGCGATGATGCCCAGAACGCAGATGATGGGGGCGATAACCCCGTGCATTGGGCGGTACGCCTCAGCGAAGTGCTCCAGCCCCGTCTTCTCCTCGGAGAAGTTGAGGAAAGAGGCGGTGGTCAGGCCGACGGTGGTGACGCCCATGTTGATGAAGGGCGTGGTGTAGTTCCGATCCAATGTGTAAGCCATTGTTACTTTAATCTTATCAAAATTTAAAAAGCGTAAATTATTTTTTTTGTCAAATTACTATCCAGTCAGTACATAACATTTGTTGTTTTTAAATTATACTTTTGTGTTGTTAAATTATTATCCAGTTCGTACATAATATTTGTTTTTGTTTTTAATTATTAAACTATAAATTATCCCTTTATCTAACAAAGAGATTTGTAATACACACGCATTTAAATGTTTTAGAAATCTGGCTTCAAATTTCAAAATCCAATATTCCGTAAATTAAAAGCCAAGACGAAGAATCCCATGTACTTAGAAGAATCCGAAGTATTTGTTAGCAGTGAGGACCAAAAGGGACCTAACACAGCAGACTCGATGCAACAGACATTTGTTCTCCAGTAATCCTTCAGTTGTCTTCCCTTGGTTCCGGAGCAGGTAAAGTCTTTTGGTGATCCAAGATGGTCGTCTCTTGAACGTAATCGCCATCAGTTACGTCTGTAACGATAAATAGGTCAAGGTCAGGGGTTAGTTGTTAAAGGAAACTTATCACCAGACAGTAATAATATTTATGTATAAGTATTATATATATATATATAAATATACATATATATAATATATATATATATATATATATATATATATATATATATATATATATATATATATATATTTATATATATATTTATATATGAAATAATATTTCACATGTACATATAGGTATATGATATATATATATATATATATATATATATATATATATATATATATATATATATATATATATAATGTAAATATAATTATATGTTATATGTAAAGCCTACATTGCATAATATAAATATAAACATATATAGTTTAGGAAACCCCGTTATACGATGCTAAAGTGAAATTGAAAATTAATCCGTCCGGTTCACTTTAATAGATATTTGAATGCATATTTCACGAATTAACTTCATTTAACGACCGTTTAGTCTAAGCAATAAAAAGGGAAGCGACTCTATAATTAATGTGTACCCCCAAGGGAGGTAATAAAATGGGTAAGATTGTAAATAAAAAATGGAGGACCTAATTCTTAACTCAGCCAGCCCACCGGGCGGTGTGGAGAACTCCCACCGCCCTGAGAGTGATCCTAAATCAGGGGAATTAATTCCACATCCGGTTTTATCGTAAATCATCGTGTCCCTTTTTGCTGGTGTTTTAATTGGACTAACGCCGATAAGGGCGATAACTCGATTAATATAGAAACGTTCATCCAGTACACGCATATTTTTTTTTTTATCAAGAGAAAACATTTTTATAAAAGCTATATCAAATTACAAAAAAGGTTACTTAGTGCTAAAAAGGTAAGGGGGGGGGGGGGAAGTCAGATAGAGGTTAAAAAGAAAAGCATTTTGTCATGTGTTATTTTTACTGTTAGAAAAGGTAAGATAAAAACTGCAAAATAAAGAAAGCTCCACCTAAAATCTTTAGCAGCAAAACTCAAAAAAAAGTCAAAAAAAAAAAAAAAAAAAAAAACCAACCCAAATTTACAATTCAGCAAAAATAAAAAAAAGTTACGCAGTAAAAAAAAGGTAATTAGTATAGCCATGACATACATTCTAAGACAACACAATAAGATTCACCTCCGGGCTGGATTTAATTTCGTTAAACTAATTACAATTAAACATTTACATTTCTCTTAACGAATTAGATCTGCTTTTCTTAATGGCCCTAAAGCGCCATTAATTAATTATACAACATAATTAACATGCGCGTTTTGTACGTATAAAAACACATTTAGCGGAGAAATAATTACTTATAATGATAATTATAAAGCTTAATGCATACATAATTAGTTGATTCCATTATCAACAAAACTGAAGATTCAGCACAAAAAGTACGGAGATATTCAGCTGCCGTAGAAACTACAGGAATTTTCTTTTTTTACATTTCGGCATGTTCATAGGTCTTTTGATACGACTGCATTTTGCCTTCGGGGACAATATACACCCTTAGATACATGATCATAGGTGCGCGTACCTAGGTATTAGAATGTTGAAAAGATCTTGGGCTGCTAGGATGTATATATATATATATATATATATATATATATATATATATATATATATATATATATATATATATATATATATATATATATCTTCAGATGCCGAGATCTCTCTCTCTCTCTTGGGTTGCCGAAATCTCTTGCCGAGATCTCTCTCTCTCTCTTGGGTTGCCGAAATCTCTTGCCGAGATCTCTTTCTCTCTCTCTTCGGTTGCCGGGATCTTTGTCTCCTCCCCCCCCCCCTCTCTCTCTCTTCGCCAATCACCCTCTCTCCCTCTCGACCTAGCCGGTATAGTCCAAAACAACGCTAAACAATACGTTTGGTACATACTAAGCTAGCAGAATCTACCATAAGGAAACCAGAGTTGGTAATCCTACAGGGACTGCACTCCTATTTGATTTCGCAATTCACTCCCTTAGATGGGATTCTGATCCCAGTTAACGAACCTTATCTACTTAGGTCTTTGAACTCGGCAAAAAGTATTTTAAATCCATATGTAATCAGTTTTTAATCAGTACAGAAAACATCAATAAATGACACAGATTTGTCGCCATGTATATACATGTTTATATATATGTTTGTATATATATATAAATAAATAAATAAATAAATAAATAATAAATAAATAAATAAATAAATAAATAAATAAATAAATAAATAAATAAATAAATAAATAAATATATATATATATATATATATATATATATATATATATATATATATATATATATATATATATATATATATATATATATATATATATATATATATATATATATATATATATCAGCTGGTGATTCGGTGACTGCTATTTAGGTCAGCTTAACCCTGGCTAAACCAAGAAGGATAACTCACGTCAAACTATTTTGATTTCCTGCCCGCGAACTAATTTAAGTGCTCACTAATGAGATAAAACGTTCATCCAATGACGTCATGCGGACGGACACTGGGGCGGATTTATCGCGCTGTAACGGTCGCGGTTGAACTACTTCCACGTCAGATTCTCTTACAAATTCTGAGACCGATTCAATGGTTTTGAAAAAAAAAATACATAACCGCATGCGTTCGTTCTATATCATCGTCTTAGTATAGCCGCAAAACCAAACTTTTCGTTTCATTTACTTTTCCGGTGCGGTAATAAAATATGAAATGAAAGGGAGCAAATCCAGTTCAGTAGTTATATTAAATTATTGTGCATATTATATTTCGCAAATTAGATTTCAACATAACGGTGGTTATTTCGTACGATTGAAAAAAAAAATATTTTAAAACATTTTTTTTATTACTTTATACATATTTTTTTTTATAATTCTAGAATAATCTCTGTATAATTAGCTTTGAGATCTTTAAATGCACTTTACGACCTTATATACCGCATGCAAACCTAAGCGAGAAAAGAACATCAACTAATCCATGAGAACCACCTGATCTAATTGAGAACATTACTTGCAAATATGATGAGAATAAAGGTCGTTTTTTGAAATGTATATCTGCAAACACAAGTACACAAAGAAGAATACGGGAATAATATACTTCAGTATACCACGCCTAGACAAAAGTACGACAAAAGCACACACAAAGGGCTTATATAAACACATCAGAATTCCCGATTCGCTTTCTTTTTTTATTGCATAAATTGAACGGGGAGTTCCCCAAATGTTTCAACGTCATAAAATGACGTCACGCAGGAAATCCCAAAGCGGTGCCAATGTCCATCTGTAAAGTTTATTTATAACTTTTTTTCCCTACTGCTTTTTTATGGTTTTCTATAGATAGTATCTCGCCCAGATCCCATCTTCTCTGAATATATCTCTCGCGACTGGGAGTAGAGTTTGGGAATTTCCGTTCCGCCGTGAGTGCCGATGAAATTTAAAACGTTCAAACAGGCCGACGCGGCTTACTTCGCTGTTGATGACGGCGTTTGTTTTTGGCCGTGTCTTCAATCCGCAACTCAATTCCAAAGGATCCTTGTGTCTGGCCACGTTGATGGTACCTTTAACCGGAAGTCCCGGAGGGACCCGACATTTACGGCTCAATATGTTTCCGCTAGATCAATGGCGAATGTGGGGAAAGCGCAGAAGCTATGGGCGATATACAAGCGAACTACTCTGTGTTTTGTCACCCAGACTATTGCTGCTAAGCCAGTTCAAGACTTAAATGTGACGTTACGTAACGGAGGCCGGAGTGCATTACCGGACGAAGCCACGAATTAGCGGAACTGAGTTCATGGGGTTGCGTTGAACACTGAACCGTTCGAGCTAATCTTCTCTTCATACAAAATGTAAGCTGATAAATGCGAGCTTGTGAATGGAGCCATGTCTGTTGTATTGTCTATTTACAAGTATCCTGAGCACTCGACTCTGATGCTGTGAGCCACATATATTGATCTGTTGTCTTGGCTCAGTAGCATGGTATTCCAGAGCCACTGGCTTGTCTATGTATAAATATCTGAATACTTTTTGCTTATGTTTTCTTCGTGTGATAAAAGTGCTAAGGGGAGAAAACTAACTGACATTTCTAACTTATAACTTGTAGTATCAACATTTAAAACTCGAGTGTCTCGAGTTCTGATCACAGGATGCCCCTGAGCCCACCCAGCTCTGATGGGTACCTGACTCATGTTTGGCAAAGTAAAAGCGGAGGGGTATAATGCTCATCACACTATCCCTTTATATACCGAGGTCACAGAAACGGGTGCTCTCTACATAATCGATCTCATGGACCGCTATATTGGAAAAGTTGTTACTTTATCAACAATTAAACCACTCCATGCTGGAGATAGTTTGTGTACCTCTATAGACAGTCGAGAACGTTAAGTACACCAGTAGGGTGGGTGTAGGTGGGGGTGGGTTTGTGTCAGGTCCATAGAGTGTTCCAACATGCATTTATAGGTGCGGAAAGTGAAAGTACTACCACATCCGCTTCCATGCAACCATATTTTAAATTTTCTGTTTTGTCTTACCCCTGACTCTA